CTGAGACTATAGAGCTCAAAGTTTCTTTATTGGCCAAGGACTTAGGGCCAGAATATAATTACCCAGGGTCAAGTTCTAAGGAGACAACAAAAACATTTGGTAAGGGGGCAAAAAATTCTCAAGAATCAGATCTCAGCCAGTAGAGGGAGAAGTCATTTCTGCTAGAGAATGTAATCCCCCCCTCCCCCAGTATGAGCCTAAGTACAAATCTAATTCCAGTTCAAGGATGAGAAACTCCATGCAGAAAATCCTTTTCCTGAGGTTGAGTGGAGAGGCTGCTATCTGTTCTCAATTTCCTCTTTTCTTTTGGGACCACAGAGATGATGATGCCAATTCCTCTCTCCCGGCATAAGCAGGACACTAAGTGCATAGGACATCTCTTGCATTTATGCCTGTGCAGCCCCTTAGACACTCCTTTACCCAGACTTTCCTCATAGTTCTGACTTCAGTCCCATGTCACTCTGGACAAAGACAGAGAGCAGGACCCACCTGCCACCAACTCCAGCACTTCCTGGCTTCTCAGAGCACTTGGGAGGGAGTAGGAGATACTGGGGCCCACTGTTGGAGCCAATGCTCCCTGGGGAAGGAGTGCTCTCTGAGCTGGGCAAAGCCTTTCCATCATTCCCATGCCATGCTAACACAACGCACACAGAGACTTCACCATAGTGAGGAGGGTCATGGACCTGCTGGAGATTGTGAGCACACTCTTCTGACCCCCATGGCCCCAAGCAGTACCTGCCAAGGCCTTGATCCGGGACCTCTCAAAGAGCCTGGCTGAGCTGTTGTCATTATCCAGCTCGTCGTCCGGGCCATCCCAGCGGGCATTGATCCGGCTGTATGGTGGCTGATTGCTTACGTTTTCAAACTCAGTGGCCGATGTCATGTCAGCAGGCTCTTAGCAGCTGTGCCTGTCTCAGTCTTCATGGAAAGGTCCCTAGGGGACAGCAACACAGTCAGAGGGTTAGCTTCCCAGTCTCTTGCTCTTTTTCTCAGGGGAAACTTACTGGGAGCATCCGACAGAAGGCAATCCCGGCGGGATGCATGCACTGTGCTGTCTCCCAGGGCATGCTTCTTCTCCAGGGTCTCAGGGTCCTGTGTTATAAAATATTGCCGCAGGAGAAACAGTAACGGCGGCAGTGGCGGGGGACAGAGCAGAAAGCTGCATGCTGCAAGGGTCAGGATGGCCAGCAGGTGGAGATGTCGGTCGCAGTAAGCCAGCTTCCTTTAAACCTATTGCACTGAGCTAGAGAGAAGCAAGAGGGGTAGTGCTTCTGTGAGTCAGAGGCTGGTGGAGACAAGGTAGGAAGAGCAGCCCTCACTGGCAGACTGAGATCGGAAGCAGGCCTGGTGGGGGAGAAAAGGACAGGCAGAGCGATAGGAGCAGCTGAAAGTTGGCTGAGTCTCATTTAAACAGGAATTGGGGTCAGGGTGGGGGTAAGCATCAAGTTGCATCAGACACCACCAGCTCTGGGCAGCCACTGGGGGCTGGGGGTGGAAAGTCCTTCTCCATTGACATTGCTCAGGAGCCCTGAGTTCTTTCCTAGCAGACAATATTTGGAAGACTGAGTTTGCTTTTTGTCTTCTTTGAAGAGTGACCAGGTGCTGGCATAAGGTCTCCTGTTGAATCCCAAGCCAGCCCAAGCAGCCCAGTGGCTCCTGTTGTCCCATCCAGACCATTAGCAACAAGTGCTAAGGTGGATGGATGATGGCATCTCAGGGACAACGGGACCCCAAGTCAGTTATCTGTGCAATAAGCACAGGCACCCAGGGTACTCACTAGCCCACCACTTATTTTTACTTGCTTATTTATTTAATCATTCATTCATTCATTCATTCATTCAGAATTAACTCAAATATGCATTCAGCCCCAGTGAGAAGGCAGGCAATCATGAATAGGACAAGAAGGGCCATGTCCTTATGGAACTAATACTCTGACAAGGACAACAAACAATTAAATTAGCAATTATAGTAAGGCACACTGTGTGCCATGACTGGGAGAGACTAGGATATGTTAGAATCTGGGTGCACAAGAAAAGGAAGCTCAAGGTGACTGCTAAATGCTGCCCAAGGAAGCTTGGAGGAGCTCCTGAAGGGACAGGTGGAAAGGGACAAGAGTCTAAACCAAAGGAGTAAAGAACAGGGGCAACATTCTGAAGGTAAGAAAAAGCACAGCAAAACAAGGAAACTGAAGAATAACAGGAGGATGGGTAGGGTCGAGGAGGAAAGTGAGGCCGGAGGCCGGAAGGGCAGCCTAGTCATGAATGCACCTGGCCTTTAGAAAACTCTAACTTCCTTCATCTGTACCTGACATTCAGGCATCCCCCTGGGGAACTTATGGGATGCCAAGTTCAAGTCTGTAAGACAGAACAGGGCACCAGAGCCTTCATATTCAAGACAGCAAAAGTTGGGGGAGGGGACTTGGAGGCAAGGTGGCAGACAAATGATGTGTCAACAGTTATTGAACATCATCCTCTCACACACCCTAACACACACAGGCTCACATCTGACACACTGACACACTCCCAAGCAGGCACACGCAGGCAGGAGAAACAAATCATGCTCGCCACTTTGAGCATAACTGCAGTGCTTCAGAACTTAGTTTTCAGACTTAGAATCACTTCAGACTCTTTGTCCCCCAATCTGAAAATCAATCCTACCACATCCCTTTGAGGTAAGACAGGAGTCAGCATTATCCACTCTAATTGCATGGGGTTGGGGGAGTTGGGGTGGATATGACACAAGCTCAACACTGGATGAGGCCTCTTCAAGGTCATCTAGGAAACTACTGCTTAGACCAAAGACCAAACTGTAGCCCCGGTTATCTCCTTTCACTAGACTGGTTGGGGGAGTTAGGGGGGAGCAACCCATGGGAACTGACAGTATACTGCAGCGGCCTGGGTTGAGCAAAGGTATTTGCTACTCAGGGGAAGGGAACGAGCAAAGTGGGGAAACTAGTCATTGCCCCAAACACAGTGTACCCCACTATGCCAGGCCTATGCCTAAAGCCATTCTTATTCCTTTGAACAGTCTGTTCAAGCTTCTTCCACAGCTGAGATTTCCCACTCAAAGGTCTGAGCAAAGATAGCTGGGAAGGATTTTCTACTCTCCACGCTTCCCCCACCTCCTTCAAGGGGAATGACCACTGGCATGGAGATCTGAGTCAGAGGGGCTGCCAGGCTGACCACTTCCTACAGGGCCACAAGCCCATCCATCAGTCTCTGAGAAGGGGCAAGCTGCCAGACATGGGAGGCGTGGTAGGATCAGCCCCTGAGCACCGGAGGTAACCAGACCCTGGCTCGCTTCTCTTCATCCTAGGCTATTTTTAAGAGTGTCTGAGAGAGGCCCAGGCTGTGGGGCTGGGGAGTGAGATTACCTTAGCTGTGGCTCCGTAAATAAGTCTGCCCCAGAAAGATGAGCCTGAGCAAGCAGACCAGCAGAACTGGCGTTCACGGCAAGATTGATGGCCCCGGGTGCAGGAGAGCAGAGACTCGACAGCAATTTATCCTGCTTAAAAACGTCATCCTTCCTGAGACCGCAGCTTGCCGAAGGTGCAACCAGGCAGTGGCTCAGCCAGGAATTCAAGAAAACACACATGAATCTGAACACATGAGTCTGGTTGGTTTGCTGGTTTGTTTGCTTATTTGTTTGTGAAAGGACCATATTCCTGGCGACAGATGCCACCAAAAGGAAATTCAGAAGTGAAAGTGAGGCTTATTCCTCCTCCAACCCACCCTAGTCCCTGCTCAGATGGCATTTCATTAGAGTCAAGGGGTGCTGGGGTGGGCCCACATGCTCAGGCAAGGACAGTTACAGAGAATCAAATATGAGAGACAGACAGGAAGAAAATAGGAAACCCAAAACATTACCTATTCCAGAAATAACCACCCTCCACTGACAATGCATGTAGAACCAAATTCAACCCAGTGCTTTCTCAGTGTCACCAGGCCTCTTTCCATTATTGTCACTGTGGCCCTCCAGAGGCTTGACTATAAAGAAATCACTGTGACAAAGAGAAGCATGTATGTTCAGGTCTCATGGGGGGAAGGAGGGCGCCTAATCAAAGGAGGAGTCATAGAAATAGTGTTCAAGTTGCTACCTGAAGGGAAGTTTGAAATGAGATGATGTGGTCATATTTTCAAGGCAAGTCATCTGTGCATCTAGAGGGGTCCTCCATGAATCATGAAGGACCACAGTATAGAATTGAACTTAGACCTCACACTCCTGTCAGCAAATCCAGGGCAAAAAAATGTCATAGGAGCAGTTCACCTCCCTGTTCACCCTAAAGCCTTCTCCAAAGTTCCTCTCAAGCCAAAAATCCCTTGTCAAAGTATAGGTGGGTCTTTCCTGGTCCATATGACTCTGTGCCCAGGGCAGCCTACCTGCCCCATCCATTGATCTGCCTGTCCAGTTAGCTAGGCAGTCCCATCATCAGAGTCACTCTTACCTATAGGCTGCCCTCCCCTGTCTCTAGAGGATATTGGTAGAACAATTCTTAGGAACTTTCCCACAGCTCAGTACTGAAAAGCCCACCTGATGGCACAGAGCAAGGAGTGCTCACTTGCTGAAGGAATGTACTTACTCAGAAAAGGGATTGCACAGTATCACAGACACAACCTTCATGGCAGCATTTCACACACAGCCAGGAACCTATCTGCCTCTAGAGTGAGTGTCAGGCCTCATGTGCCATGCCTGGGAATTGCAACCTCCCATTCATCAGGGAGGACCTGAGTAAGTGCCAGGGCCACTGTCTCCCCGCTGGTCTGAGCTGTATGCTTTTGTCTTAATTTTGAAAATTATTTATTATTTTATTTTATATGTATGAGTGCATTGCCTGCATGTATGTGAGTGAATGCCCAAGGAGGTCCGAAGAGGGCGTCGGATCCCCTGGAGCTGGAGTAATGGATGGCTGCTAACAGACATGTGGCTGCTGGGAATCGAACCCAGGTTCTCTGCAGGAGTAGCCGGTGCTCTTAACTGCTGAGCTACCCAGCTCCTGGGCTATGTTTTATGTCAGTTTCTCCCATGCCCCCAACAGAAGTGATGTCCTTCTCCCTGCCCCCAAGCTCCCAACAGTAACTAGCACTCTATCTTCTTCTCCCAGGTCCTTCAAAGGTGAACAGCAACAGAATGAAGATCTGCCTCAGGACTGGGAAATGGGGCCACATAAGGCCACTCTTCCTCAGTGGGGCGAAGATGGAGGTGAATGCAGCAGTTCAGATACTGAAGTCATCTTTAAACAGGACTTAGAGACACCTGAGGTTTGGTTTGTCTAGCTATATGGTTTTCTGTCATATGTTTTTTAGTTTGTTCTTTTACTTATGCTACCCTAAACCTGCTTTTGACTTATTTGGTATTATGGCAACCCAGGTCAGGACATTAAATCTTTGGTAATTTTTCTGCCAATATAGCACCACTGGGAGAACATGCCCTTCTACTCCCTCTGATCATAATTGTATTGCATATTCACAGACACCTTAAAGAACAGACAGATATATAAATACATAGGCACCAAAACAGAATGAAAACCAATGAGATGCTGTCAGAGTCTTTTTTGTAAAAAAAAGAAACGACTCAGACTGCATCCTCTCCCTCTACTCTCCCGAAAGAGGGAACCATCATCAAAGGCAGAGTCTTATTCTAAACTGACCTGCAGCATCTCCATTGCCTATTTGATGTATCTACCTAGATATTACAGCTCAGTCTCAACATGGCTAAGATGGAGCACACAGATCCCAGGACAGCAGAAAATGGGAGCATCAGAACCGTTGGGCAGCAGTGAGGCCCAGGTAAATGCCACCGGTGAGTGGGCTTTCCAGCAGGCATGGCTGGACAGGTCATTTCTCCTTCCCAGAGCATACTCTGCATGTCCCATCCTAACTCAGTCTGGTCACAGTGATAGGGTGGGGCTGGAATTTTTAGAGCCCAAGATTCCTA